GGATTTACATTTTATTTATTAAATGTTGATTTAGATTATTCATCACCGTTACTATTAACAAAAAACACAATCAAATTTAACAACAAAGAGCATTAATGTCAAACCAATGTATTCATCAATGTTAAGTCGTGATATTCCTGGCCCACCATCTCTCTTTGGTGCTCTTCTTGCTACAATTGGATTAATGTTTTCACTTTTATTACCAAAGTCAAAATCTGACTTAAATGAAATGGGAAATGAATCACGAAATATTGAAGAAAATGCACGTTTATTACGTGTCAATCATGAATCAGATGACAATAATATTCAAACGGATTAATTCGATTATTTTTCATCATATCTCAAAAAAAATTGTTATCTTTTTTTTTAATTCTATACGTCAATTTAGTTCTGTATTTTGTTATTAGGATATTTTGTATTTTATTACAACCAAATCAAAATACTGTGTATAAGATGAGTGATTAAAATATATGGAAAAAAATCGTCAACTTCTTTGCTGCTCATCAGGTGGCATCCATGAACATCTTTTCCCAGCATGTTCAAATTCAAGTTTCATATTTTCATGTTCTCTTTTCTTTTAATAACATGAGACTGATGTATTCAATGAGTTGTAAATATTTCATTTTATTCTTATGCATTTTTCTTCTCATAAAATCCGAAATGAAACTGACTAGAACAAGGTATACAAACATATGTCATTGTAGGAAAAAACAAGACCTTGCTAAGACCAATTTCAAAGCTTGACAGTGTGATTGATTCTGTTTTTGAGCAAATAAATAACAAAGTGAATATCACTTTTCACTTTTTGAAGTACACATAACACTCGGATTTAAATCCGAAGTTTTCGCATTTATTTAAGAAAAGAAAGCGTTCCAACAGAAATGGCAAGCGTTCCAAAGTGGAACCTTCAAGAACGCTTTCCGCATTCTTCAAGAATGGTTTTCTATGCTAAAGAAAGGTTTCCACTTTTCTGGAACGCATTCTTGATCTTTCCTACTGAAAATGATAGAAAATGCGTTCCACTATTCTATGAAAATGTTCTTAGCCATCCTCAAAAAAGAGTACTTGCAAAAAAACGATTTTCACTTGCTCCAGTCTACTTCCTGTCGTAATCTCATCTCTGGACTTCTCAGAAGCTACTCCTTCTGTCTTCCATTGCGTCTTCTTTTTAATTAACTTTTTAAATGTGTACCTTATCATGGATTCGAACTCAGGATCTGGTATTTGCGAGGCGAATATGTTATCCACTACACTGTTTCTACGGTTTGAATGTAGAACAAAAATACTACTTATATTGAACGGAACAGTAGACAATCAATATTTCTGCTAGTTTTTTTTAAAAATCAAATGCTTGTTTTTAATAGAGCAGACAATTTATTGTGATTAGGATTTTCATTGTCTTCATGTGATAATAAGTTAGTATGGAAAAAGTATGAATATAAAGTTTTAATATTTTTATATTTAAAAAATATCTTTACTTTTAAATCAAAAAGTAATTGAATTTGATTTTTCTTAATTTTATATTTTCCTTCAATTTATTTTTAGTTATTTCTTGATTTTAATGTCATCCAAATTAAAGTTTTATATTTTTTTATTTTTAGATATATGTGTATTTAAAAAAATGAATTTATATGAAAAAAATATTAGTACATGAAAACCGGCATTTTTTATTTTTCAAAACATTAAGATCAAGAATAAACTATAAATTATTTCTTTATTTTTTGAAAAAAAAGGAAAAGAGGAAAGAAAAGAATTTATAATTTTCTTTTGATTGAGTGCTTAATGGAAAGATACTTTTCAGACTATTTTAACTATCAGTTAAAGATCTGAGACAAGTGCACGATTTTATATTTTCTGTTCATCGGTGAATCTTCTCATCAAATAAATATTTTCGGTTTGCTTCTGCTAGCTTAATGTTTTTCTTTAATTTGCAAAAAAAATTGTCGCGAATGTATTCTATTTTTCGTAGATCAATTCTTAATACACGAGAAAGCATCAGACAATTTTGATCATAGCACAGAACGCGTTCTTTCCTTTGTAAGAATGATGTTTCGTTATCTGGGAACGCGCCAATACTTCAAAGAATCCATTCTTAGGTATCTCTTTACAGAACGTCAAAGAATATTATCTTATTAGAAAAGAAATCTATCCTAACTGTTCTGAAAAAGAACGAAGGAGAATCCTTTCACTAGTTAGTGGAACGGTTCAGAAAGGTTTCTATTCGGAAAAGAACGATTTCAAACGAAGAAGATCGCATTTCATGTTATAATGGAACGATGAAGAATGCTTTCCTTCAGAAGTAGGACGTATTCTTGTCGACTTAGAACGCATTCTCGGAATTATAGAACGCTTTCCATGTTTTGACGAATGCATTCCCTCGCGTTATTTTCCAAAAAAAGTTTTCACTGGGAACTGGATATCTGTAAAAAATTTGGCGTAATATATGAACATCATCGTTATTCAATAAAGTACGACCACGTTCTAGTCGTTCGATAACATTATTTGTTTCACGAAATAATCGTAAAATATTACGAACCGTTCGACTTGTACAATTAATGACAGAAGCTATTTGGTTCGTAGTCATACCTTGATCTAAACTTAACGAGATAATTCGCCATCGATCGCCAATCGATAAGTGATCACTCATTACTGATGAATCTGTCACGTCTTCAGGCCAAGTTCGACGTCAACTAGAAACGACGATTTAGAAGAGCTAGTTTATTCACACGCGAAAACCAAAGATCTGACTGTTCAAGTGAATACTGAGTAATTGACTGAGAAAGTGGAAGAGAAGCAATACAAGAGACATAGAGTGACAACCACTAGTATATATATAGTATTGAAAATGGAACATTCTAGAACATAAGAGATAGATATAGAGAACCCTAGAAAGTTCCAGAATGTACACGAAACATTGGACAATGAGCAGTCATGTGGACGGTCACGTGAACAGACACGTGAGTGCAATCATCATAGTAAAAAATGATTTTTTTCAAGAATTTTATCAAAGAGTATGTCTATATGAGACATAGACTGATAGAGAATTTCATGCACTATCAATGGTATAATTTCTTTTATATAATTGATTTCTTTGGGGTTATAATTAAAACAACACTAGTCGACGATCTTGTCTCATTTCTTTCCAGGTTCTTGTTTTTCTTGGTTATCAGACAAGATTCTTTTTAATCATAATGGTCAGTCAAGATTCTTTTCGAGAGGAAAAAAAAAGGATTCTTACCAGAAATTCAAGGTGAAAAGAATCTTGTCTGATTACTCAGAAATAAAAGAATCGAGCAAGACTGACAAGATATTCAAGATTTTTTTAAGTTCAGACAAGAATCTTTTTCCTTTCCTCTCAAAAAGAATCTTGACTGAAATTCAAGATGAAAAGAATCTTGTCTGAGTGACCAAGAAAACAAGAATCTGGAAAGAATTAGCAGGATATTTAAAATTTCTTGAAGTTCAGACAAGTTTCTTTTTCCTTTTCTTTTAATAGATTCTTACTGATCTTCAAGATCAATAACACGTGATCTCTTTTGTTCAAATACTTACATAAATAGACGTGTAATCGTTATTTTTATTCATTTATAATTATATATAAGTGTGAGGTAAGTAAGTTTTCAAGATAATCGATCGTATTGAAAAGCTATCTATCGATCATCTTTTCTTATAGGATGTCAAGAGGAAACAATGATTTGTTTTCGAAGAATTGTATTTGTCACCAACATTTATTTTTTTCTTTGTAGAAATTTTTTCTCATGAAAATCGACTGAGAAGATTCGAGTAATTTTTTCAGTGGTATTATTGCTATTTTAGGTAGTACCGATCTGTATCGATAATATTTTTTTCGAGCCGTATATTTTCTCTTTTTGAGCCATCGCCGCGCACAGTAAGACAAAGACGATGGAGAGCTCATTGAAAGTACGAGCTCAACTCAACTCAATTACCGTTGCCTCTTCCAACTGTAGAACAAGTTCTAAATAATTTGTTTTAATTGCACTACTTTATGGTAAAATTTTTATATTGTTTTTTTTTGTGTCTTTAGATTGAAAAAGATTTATGTTTATCATCTGTTGATGAAAATTTTGAAGATAATTTGATTATTGATGATGATAAATTTGAAGATAATTTAATTTATGATGATGATAATCATAATCTCGATTTATATCCAGATTTTATTGAATCAAATGGTAGGATAAAACACTTTATTTTGTAGTATTTATTTAATGGCGACGAACTTTGAAATACAGCTTTTTGTTGGTCGTTTTTTTCTTTTTATTTCTGTTTAACTTTTTGCTCTTTATGTGAAATTCATGTATATTTTTCATTACTTGTCGTCAGGCTTCTAGCCAAGAATTTTGCATATGTTGGATTTCAGCTTCAGCGCATGGGACCCAGATGAAACTTATGGAGAGTGATATTGGACCTAAATGATGAGTTTTTATGAAACAGTTTTTGCGGTCTGAGCTTGCGAAAAAATTTTTTTTCTGAGCTCCCAAAATTTTGTTTGCTTTTCGTAGTATTCC